AAAACAAATAAATAAATATTTTTTTAAAAAACAGGTAGAAACAGGCAGAGTTTCTTATTCATAAGCAAAGATCCACTCTGTATCCACTTCTTGAAAGATGTGGATGATAGGTCTGTTCAGAAGATTCCTCCTTTCCTCCACCCTCTCATGCTTTTCCAACATTAATGCTTCATTCTTGGCCTCTTTCTTCTGTCCAGCATTGAGTTCCCTTCCATCCTCCAAAGGCTCATCTTGAAAAGCAATCAAATGGGACTGAACTTGGCCAAAGGCCATCCGTACAAAGACCAAGCATATAAAAAGAGAGGGAGGGACAGGGGAGGTCATAGCATTGGAGGCACAGTGGAATTGTAAGTTAGTAATAAAAGAAACAGGGATATTCCCTGGTGGCCTAGTGGTTAGGATTCTAGGTGTTCACTGTTGTGACCCAAGTTCAAACCCTGGCTGGGGAATTGCAAGTTGCACAGCTGGCCAAAATAAAACAGAGAGAGGAGACTGGAAAGCAGTTCCAAGGACAAAACAGAAAGCAAAAGGCATGGGTGACATAGAAAGAGGACCTGCCCTAGGTCAGGACTGCCAAGTCTTGATATCTGGTATTTTCCTGGAAGGAGTGATTAACATGGGGACTGAAAGCACTAAATGTTTGTTTTCAAGCTGCTGGGGGAGAAGCAGGAGCAGGGGACTGCAACCTTCTCAAAAAGATTCAGTTGGTTCTTTTTAAGAGAAACAAGATTTTCCCTTTTGTCCCTACCTCTCAGAAATTCAAGAGTCTAAAATTGTCTAAAGCGACCCAGAGTCAATCAAAAGCAGTTCACTGACTTGATTCCAGTGGAAGCTGATGTTCATGCATCCACTACCACAGGTCCTGCTGACAGAAGGGTTCAGAAGGCCAAGATTCAAACACAGTCCATCCACATCTTAAGTTACACCACCTCATGCATGGATCACTTCATCACAGAGAGGTTCTGTTTGTTTTAAATCTATAAAACAGTGGGATGCTTGGCAACAACATGCATTCAATACCTCTTAGGTAGAACCAACATTTCCAACATTAAAAAGCCATTACCCATCCTTGCAGGTTGTCTGTCTCTTTCCCATCCTTCTTGGAGGTCTCTAAATTGGTTGCCAACCCAGAAAGCCCAACTAATTCCAAAAACTGGAACTCAAATTGATTTTCAGCGGCACTACAGAGACACGCGCTTGGAAGAGTAGCCTCCTTAGGAAGAAAAGAAACCCATTAGTTTGTGGTTTTTCAAAAGAGTCTTTAGATGAAAAGTGAAAAGGAGAGAAAACCAAGCTCCCCAAGACACTGCAATGCTTAAAATTACCTGCTAGCATAAACCAAGATTTTTGTTTCAAACTTTTAAGTTCTAGCACTCCTCTTGGCTATGTATCCACATTACACCATAAGTGACCTTGCCCAGTCTCTACCTCCTCACGCTAACCACTTCCACAGGTACATCCCCAGCCCAGCCTGACCCCAGACTTCCCTATTGAACTGCCCATGACACCATCACTGGGCATTTTACAATCAGTGTCAACAAAATTGAGCCCCAGCCTTGTTCCTCCTACAGTCTTCCTGTTTCAGTTAGTGGCAATTCCATCCTTCCAGGTGTTCACACCACGAATTGCATTGCGTCCCCTCCACACCCCCTGTTGGCGTACTTCAAAGTAAACCCACACCGAACAGCTGCTGGCCACCTCCATCACTGCCACCCACCCATCCTTCACCTGGATCATGGCAGGAGCCTCTAAACTTGTCTACCTGCTTCTACCTCAGTCCTCTTTGCTTTCTCCACAAGGCACCCACAGTGAGTGTGTTAAAAGACAGGATGAAATGTGTCCAATCCACTGCACAAAATCCTCCAGTGGCCCCAACTCACTCTGAGTGAAAATGAACATCCTCACAGTGGTCTGCGAGGTTCTCACAAACTGCCCATCTCTCCCTCTACCCCCAACGCCTCTCTGACCTCATCCTCTTCATTCCTCCCCTTTACCCACCCACTCCAATCACACTGGTCTCCTGGCAAGTCCATCAGCCTGCCAGGGGTGGTCCATCCTTTGGGCTTTCGAGCTTGCTCTTCCCTCGGCCTGGACCACTGTGTCCCCATTTAGCCACTTGGCTCCTCTCACCTCCTTCAGATATTCACTCAACTGTTACCTTCTCAGGAAGACTTCCTAAGCATTCTCTTCAAAATTGCAATGCCAAGATTTTCCCTGGTGGTCCAGTGGCTAAGACTCTTGAGTTCCCAATGCAGCGGGCCCAGGTTCAATCCCTGGCCAGGGAACTATATCCACACGCCCCAACTGAGAGTTCAAATACCACAACTAAAGATCCCATGGGCTGCAACTAAAGATCCTAAGTGCCACAAATAAGACCTGGTACTGCTAATATTTATTACTTTATTAATAAATAAAATTTTAATGACAGGCAACAGTCCACATTCTGACTCCCTCCTTTATTACAATATAATGCGCATTTTACTTGGTTATTTTGTTCATGTGCCTTTCACCACTAAAATTAAAGATCCAAAAGGGCAGGGGTTTTTGCCTTCATTGTGTAACATAGTCCTGGTGCTCAGAATAGCACTGTGCACTATAATTTTTAATTTTTCAGGAAGCATTTTAAAAACTAAAAACAGAAGAAATTTCAACCCTATTGTATTTAACCCAATAAACTTTAAATGCTATCATTTGTAGCACATAGTCATATTATATTTACATTATCATGTATTATAATATTTCTAAAAGTCAATTAAATATTTTGCCTTTTTTCTTCATACTAAGACTTCAAAAATCTAGTGTGTATTTTATATTCATAGCCTAACTCCAGGGCTCAACACCGCAGAATGACCACCATACTGGACAATGTGACTCTAAAACAATGCCTGGCACAGAGTGGGCACTTATAAATATTCACTGAATGAAAAAATGTTTCCCCAGGAAGAGGCAGCTATGGTATAGCACAGGATTTTCTAAACTTCAGTTACACTCCATGTTCACAATTTTTGCTGTAACCTGTACTAGCTTTCCCTTAAAATGTCATCCTTTATACACTTGAAAAAATATTTTAAAATTTTATGTCGCTTCTATAAATGGAAAAGAATGCGATTAAGGATAAAATGCCTGGGCCTGAGTCCCTACTCAGTTACTCACTACTTCCAGATTCTAAAGCAAGAACTTCACTAAGCCTCAGTTTCTTCATCTGCAGAATATGGACAATTCCAACCTTCACAGAATCACGATAAAGATCAAATGAGATGCTGTCATAAACTCTTTGCAACTGCGAAAGTAGTCATTAAATGAAGGAGACAGAAGCCAACTCAAGCCTTATCTCACACCCATCATTTTCACATGTACCAATAACAGAACATAGCAAGCACATCTGACAAGAGAAGACCGAGGACTCAGGTTCAAATCTTGTCCTCCACTTACAGGCCTGTGACCTTAAGAAACTCATTTATTTACCAAACACTTACCAAGTGCCCACAATGTGCCAGGAACTAGGTTAGTAAATAAGTCAAATAAGATATGAACTCTACCCCTGAGGAATTTGCAGTCTAGCAGGGAGAAAGAGATCAGTAGATAAGAAAAAGCAAAAAATTGTCCAAAAAAAATCAAGTCATCTCTCTCAGGTCTGTTTGTTCATTGTGAGATGGGAATAACACCTTCCCAGCCTAACTCACGGGGCTACCACAAAAATCAATTTTTAAATGTTTGTCAAGTACTCCAAAAACTTGAACTCATTATTCATTAGAAAAGTATTTTTTTTTCCTACTTGTAATCCAAAACGACTCTGGTTCCTGTTAATGTCCAGTTTACACATTCACTCCAATAATACCACATCTGTGAAATTCATTCCACTTTTGCAAATGTTAGTAAACACAAAGAAAAAGAGGACAAACAGCTTTAGCACAGGTGTTTAATTTCAAAATCATGATCCAGGTCACAGTTCAGTCTTGCTACCTAGTTACAGTCCGTGGAGATAAGCAGTCCCATGGTAAAGCAAACTGAATAATTTAAACTGCAGAAAGAGGAAAAGTCATAAAGTAGTGTAGGTAGACACTGTCCAAGATTACAGCATATCTATATTGGTGAGGTAATGCTGGGATTGGGTCCTGCTCAACACCGGAGGTTAAAAGCCATTTTAAGGCCAGAGCAAAGTGCCCACACTGTTTTTAAGTCTAGAAGTTGATCTGATCTGAGCAAATCTCTAAGAAAGATGATCTGAAGGACTAGGTTCCCAAGAAGTGGAAACCCTACCCAAGCAGGACTAAGTGAGTGTGACGAAAGCAAGATGGTCAAGATTCTGTGATCCCCCCTGAAGTTTAAAAACTGAATGGGAACAAAATCAAAGTCTGAAGTACCAATCATTTCCAAAGAGGAAGAAAGGAAAATACTCTCAGGTGAGGCTCACGCTGCATCTTCTTGCTAATCTCTCCTTTTTTCCCCACCATGTCACTCGCCCATTCTCAGGCGACCTACTGCAACTCAATGCCCCAAGTCGCCCCTTCCCCCTGCCCCGCTTCCTCCACAAAGGTCACTCCTCTTCATGCCTGGCACCTATGATGCTTTCCCTTTCCCGGTCGACTTGTTGGCCGCCGCACCCAGGACGGCCTTCGCACCCACAGCGGAGCAGCCCCCGCGCACGGCCAGCGGCGCGCCCACCCCGCTCGGGCGGGAGTCGGGACACCCCTCCTCGGAGGCCGGAACCGCCGCGCCAGGCCCCTCCCACAGGAAGCCGCCGCCCCCCGGCGCCGGGGCCGCGCCTCCCCCGGCCCACCCCGCGCCGCCCGTCTTCCCCGGAGTTCCCCGCGCCCCGACCCGCCCGCTGCGTCCCCAATACCCGCGCTGGCTACCTGCAGTGGCCACTGAAGCGGCGCCCAACTCCTCTCCCACTTCCGCTTTCCACAGACCGCACTCGGGCCAGGTCACGTGACCACGCGCGGTCACCTGACCCGGAAGAGGCTGGCCGGGCCTCAGGTGTGGGCAACCTAGGCCAGGCCCGAGAACCTCTGGCCAGAAGGCCTTCTTGTCCTTTGTATGTTTAAAAGTGGGAGGATTTTCACTTGCTAGATGGTCTCCCAGCAAACAAATTGAAGTCTCGCAGAGTGCCGGGCGCTTCGTTTACCCCTCCCATCAACGATGAGGGCGGGTCTATCTTAGACCCATTTTACAGGTGAGAGGAGGCGGTCAATCTACTAACTCAGCAGATATTTATTTAACTCCTTAGGGTTAACAGACAAGATAAAATACAGAATGCCGAGTTAAATTGTAATTTTAAACAGCCATTAATACGGAGGTGTGCCCCCAAATATTGTCTGGTACAGTGCATATTTATAGCAAAAAAAAAAAAAAGGAAAATTAAGTTGATACTCATATGTAATGGGCATCCTATGTTTTAATTTGCTATATCTGAGAACCCTAAGCCTACTATGTGCCAGGCAAGTTTCTAGGTTCTAGAAACACAAAAGCTTTTGTAGAGCATCTGTTCTTGTGACATAAAACACAGGTAGAGAAGCTCCGAAACCTTTGCTATTGTCCATAAGATGCCCCAGCACACCAAACTAACCCCATTTCGATAATATATAGACTAGATAGAACTTTATGAATTGGAAAAAAAAAAAAAAACATTTTAAGTCAGTATTCTTTACCGATAGTCAAGAACTTCAGCTTTGACAAACTGGATGAAGGCTAGTTTTTCACTTTCAATCACCATTAACTAAGATTAGTATTAATCACCTAATTAAACTTAAGCACAGGGAGGCCTGGCGTGCTGTGGTTCATGAGGTCGCAAAGAGTCAGACACGACTGAGCGACTGAACTGAACTGTGCACTAATTACTCTGTTATTTTTAGGTCTTCCATTTGGAGGAATCAGATATGCATACAAATTAAACTGGTTGAGCATTTAGTTTCTACTTTTCCCATCCCAAATCCATCCAGGAGATGGCCTTTTAAGGAGCTACAGTCCTCTCTTAACATCTTAATTCTTAGAGTAATCCCATCTATAAAACTATTAAAATTTCTCTAGTAACATTCTCTAGATGGGAGTTGTACTAATTCTATTCTAGGGGAAGGCCTCTTTAATTTGGTGGCATTTGAGTAGGTGTTCACCAAAAGGAAAAAAAGGGATTAGGCAAGGCAGTCTCTCACTGTGGGTTAAAGGAGTAAAAGCTTAATATACATTCTGAGTAATGGCAGCCCACTCCGGAACTCTTGCCTGGAAAAATCCCATGGACAGAGGAGCCTAGTAGGCTATAGTCCATGTGGTCACAAAGAGTCGGACAAGACTGAACGATTTCACTTTTCTTTCATAAAGTCCCTACATGGTCCCTTCCACCCCTCACCTTTGTTTCTTTTATCTCATCTCCAACTGCACTTTTGCTCAGTACCCTGCTTCAGCCACTCTAGCCTGAGGGTCTGTGGACTTGCTTTTCCCTCTTCCGGGAAAGTTCTTTTCCTGGGTAGTCAGTTGACTCACCCCCTCATCTCTTTCATATGTTTGCTTAACTGTCCCTTGCAGTGAAGCCTTTCCTGGTCACACTATAAAATCACAACTCATCTCTTCCTTCCCCTCCTACCAGTCCTTTCCTTTGTTTTTTCTCTCCGTATTTCCTCAACTTAGCACTATCTGCCTTTCACATGAATGTGTATATGTATAATCTGTTACCCCCTACAAAAAATTATGAAGACAGGAGCTATAACCTAGCTTCCAAAGCAGTACCTGGCCGATAGGAGGCCTCTTTAAATAACCCATTGAATGAATAGACGTCATCAACTTTTACTGAGCACTGAACTGGCTGCTATAGGTCCTACAATATAGGAGCTATTTTAAGACACATAAAAAATCTGAACTATGTCATCATGAAAGCACCCCCAAAAAATTAAAAAGAAGTTGAAATGTTCATTTAAGGAAAAAGGCTCCTAAAACAGTCCATGACTTCCAACCTACTTAAAGAAGACAACCAAGTAACTGCAATGCAAAGCAGAAGTAATAACTGCTCATTGAGGGCGAGATTTGAAATGTCTTAAGTATGGTGGGAAATAAGGGTCCATATCTGTCCTTGGAGAAAACTCTGATTTGGGTAATCAGGACCAGTTTACAGAAGGAACAACAGAGTGGCTTCTTGGAAACTAAGTAAGTGGGGGTTGGCAAGAAGAATTTTCAGGCAGAAGAGAAAACAAGGTCAAAGGCAGAAACAAGAAAGTCCGGGACACTCCCAGGAAAGTCCAGAGGAATTCTAGATATACTTAACTGAATTCAAGTCATGTTTCTTCTGCATCAAGTTTTTCTCTCTCCTACCCAACTGTTAAGTATAAAGTTTTATATCCTGTAAATTTTCCAGTCCTGGAAGTGAAGTCAGATGTTCACTAGCACACAATCAAGACCTTTTCTCTTTCATAAAGGGTCCCACATGTTAAAGTTGTCATTATCTCCAAATGAGTTATACATGGAGTCCTTCTACATATGTTTGCTGCTGCTGCTAAGTTGCTTCAGTTGTGTCCAACTCTGTGTGACCCCATAGACGGCAGCCTACCAGGCTCCGCCGTCCCTGGGATTCTCTAGGCAAGAACACTGGAGTGGGTTGCCATTTCCTTCTCCAATGCAGGAAAGTGAAGTCGCTCAGTTGTGTCCAACTCTTCCCGATCCATGGACTGCAGCCTACCAGGCTCCTCTGTCCATGGGATTTTCCAGGAAAGAGTACTGGAGTGGTTTGCCATTGCCTTCTCCACTACATATGTTTGAAAGTGTTCATTTATTAAGGTAAACTGTTTCCAGTGACAATAATTTTCATAATAATGTTTGAGATTTCTTCACTTTCTTCATTTTTTAAAAAAACAAGGAGCTTCAAATGTGTTTCAGGGTTCACTTCACTTCTGGGTCCTCTGAGGTTTTTTGTTTTGGGGTTGTTTTTTTTTTGTACTTTGGCAGCATGTGGGATGGTGTCTCAACCAGGGATGAAACTGGGGTCTCCCAGTAAAAACTCCAAATCCTAACCACTAGGCCACCAGGGATTTTCTTCCCTTCACTTCTGAGAGAACCTGTCCCCAGACACCCTCTGCTACCAAAGACATTACCCTCAACTACCTGAACACTCCCTTTGGATTTTTAGACTTCATGAGTCTTTGCCCTCATCATCCTTCAAGATGTGGCTCCAAAGCTTATGCCTCTAAACTCAAACTTGCCCCTTGACACTACACAGGATATCAGTTTGTTCGTAGCTATTACATCACCAAAATTGTGGTGGTGTAAATTAGTTCTCAGTATGTATTTTTTTCACCAAATGACAGTCCCAAGGCTTCAGGGGACTTGGAGACTAACATTACAGGGAAAGAGAAAAGGGATTAAAGTATTACCGAAAAATGACAAAAGCTACAAAGTGTCAAGAAACCTATATTGAACAAGTATTTTTAATGTTTACTAGAAAAAGAATGGCTCAAAGCCTGATCTTTCTTTTCCTGACTATTCTCCTAAATCAGTGTTTCTCAAGTGCGACCCCAGGTCAGCAGCATCAGTGTCACCTGAAAAAGCAGCTTGTCCAGCTCTGCCCAGACCTACTGAATCAGAAACTGAGGACGAAGCCCAGCTATTTGTAGTTTTGCAATCTCTCCAGGTGATTCTGATTTACATTGAAGTTGGAGAACATTGATCTAGGTCATTCTTTTTCACCATAGTGTTCACAGAATTATTGCTAATTTCAATAAACCTCTTTTTATTGTGGGGTCTAGTTTCTATATAATCCCTCCCTTTTCAGGCAGCAGGAGCAGTCAATTAAGGAAGAAATTAGAGACAGGAATATTAGTGTTGAGTGGACTATATTTTCTAGGCATGAAATAAAAAGTTAGAGTAATGAGAATGAATGGAGAAGGGACCCAGGCACCTCAAACTGTTTCAGAAGTGATGTCAATAGGGTTGAGCAAGAGGAGTATGGGTTGAAATAAATATCACTCAGAGATTCTTACACTGAATGCCTTTTTTGGTAATGCCATTAGTGAAAATAGGAACTCAAACAGTGAAGAAATTTTAAGTGGGGGCAGGAGAGAGAATTACCGAGTTTTAACCCTCCTCCTGAGTAACAATACCAAAAATTTTCAGAAAGATGTGGCCAAAAGACTAGGTTAGGGAATAAATGGGGATTGGACCTATAGATTCCAGAGGTAGTCATATAATGTGATCATTGTGACCAGCTTTGAGGATAGATAGTACTGGTGAAGGAGAAAATTCAAGAGACATGGAGGCCAGGACAGTTCTGTGGATGGTGCCCTGTGTGCAAGGCAGAAAAGAGTGCACTAAAGGAGGCTGAAAAATCATCAGAGAGGCAGGGGGACCACAGTGATGCAGCACAAGAGTGAATACAGGAGAGACAGTCCAGAAAAAGGCAATGGTCAGCAATGTAAAATTCTGCAGAGGAACTGAGAATGACAGAAATAAGAACAACAGCAAAAAAAATTGATGATAGGGAATTCCCTGGTAGGTCAGTGGTTAAGACCCCCAGAGATATGAATGATTTTTTTGGAGGTACAAGGGCTAAATTATAATCAAGGGGTGAAAACTGGAGTGAAGACTAAAAAGACAGTTTAGAATTAACTCAATAACACTGAAGATAGATGACTGAAAACTTAAGACATTACTCAAAGTTCACCAGCATGAATTTCTAACAGACCAGATTTCATAATCACAGAATTTCAGCAAGGAATTATGAGCCTTGCTTTAGGTAAGTGGAGTAAGAATATTAAGTTAAAAAATTGAGAGATAGAGATCCCCACCCCAAATTGCTCAAAATGAAGTAGGGGTAAGAAAGCAGCGGTTGGCCTGGCATAAAGGTAAGCAAGTGGCTCTGAGTTGGTTTGTTTCAGTGTTAATCTTAATACACCATTTAGTCAATGTTAGCCTAACCTCCTTTTCTTGAGCAACCACACCTTGCCTATAAAATAGTATTTCATAGACTTGTTTATGACTTAAGTCATGTCCAACACTTTTGCTACCTCATGGGCTGTAACCTGCCAATCCCCTTCTGTCCATGGAATTTCCCAGGCAAGAATATTGGAGAGGATTGCCATTTCCTTCTCCAGGGGCTCTTCCCCACCCAGGTGTCCAACTGGAGTCTCCTGTCTTTAGCACTGAGCCACCAAGGAAGCCCAGTCTTTAAATTAGGTCATCTAAACCGACTGACTCGACAATAAAACCAAATACAGACTCTTTGAATTCAAGTGTACAGAAGATGCTGGGGCATCTCCGGGCAAGAATATGACCCCATGGGGTGCCTCCAGGCAAGAAAGTGCCTTTCTGCAGGGAATCTTCCAGACTCAGGGATCCGAACTTGGGTCTCCTGCATTACAGGCAGATACTTTAACGCTGAACCACTAGGGAAGCCCTAAGGGCCAATTAAAGTGTCTCTAGGGGTCAACGGGGTCGCAAAGAGTCGGACACGACTGAGTGACTGAACTGAACTGAACGGTCAATAGTTGATGGCAAAGCAAGTTTTCTAAGGTGACCACCCCACGACGGGCCCCGCCCAAAATTTGACCCCGCCCACACCTCCCAGGCAAGGCGAGCGGCCATACTGCGCATGCGCGCAGGTGGCCCAGAGCCGGGAAATGCCGGCGCGCCCGCCAGGAGTCGCCGCTTAGTTGCAGTTTCTCTTCTCGGTTCCCAGAGGTCCGGATTGATACGGAGGGACGGGCGGAAGCTCCGCGCGCATGCGCGGTCTGGCCTCGTTGGGCCAACATGGCGCCAGTGGAGCACGTTGTAGCGGATGCCGGGGCGTTTCTACTGGATGCGGCTCTGCAGGTACACGGTGCTCCTGTGGAGAGGAGCGGGGTCTGGGCTGGTGGCCCCTGAAGGAGTTTGGGAAGTCCGGCAGCACGTTGCGTGGTGCGGGCGGGTGTGAGCTGGGCTGGTCTCCCCGCAGGACATCGGGAAGAACATCTACACCATCCGGGATGTGGTCAGCGAGATTCGGGACAAGGCCACGCGCAGGCGGCTCGCCGTTCTGCCCTACGAGCTGCGTTTCAAGGAGCCCCTTCCTGAATACGTGCGACTGGGTGAGTACCTCTGCCCGATGTTGATGGTGAAGCTGGGTCCCAGGTTGCTGACTGAACCTGCTCTGCTGCTAGTTGGAGCCTGGTTACTTTTATCAGAGTTGGTTTAGAAACCCCACGGTCAGGATCGTGGTGGGAGAGAGGCTTCCTGGGTCATGAGTCAACCAGGCCTTGCTGCTTACTAGCTATGTGCCCTTGGGTGTATCACTCAGACTCTCCAGGCGTCAGTTTCCTCATCTGTAAAATGGGATTAACAATAGTACCTATCCGCGGAGTTGCTGGGAGCATTAAAGGAAGAATAATGTCACTCAGCACAGTGTCCAGCGTTTTGTAAATATTTTGTTTGGATTAAAAATAGAAGTCCTGCCCTGGAAAGAACCTAGGTGGTTGAAAGTGTTTTAGGGGTTTTAGAATTTAAAGGCTGATAATGGAGATGATGTTACCTACACTAATTGTGACTTCTTTAGCTTTCTCTCACATACTAGCTTTGTGATCTTTGACAAGGTACTTAATCTCTCTGAGGAAATACTAATAGTATTTACTTCACAAGATTTGGCTAAAGCAGTCCCACTCCTAGGGATATATTGGGACAAAGCTATAATAATTCAGAAAGATACATGCACCCCTATATTCATAGCAGCACTATTCACATTTGCCAAGACATGAAAACAACCCAAATGTCTATTGACAGATGAATGGATAAAGAAGATATGGTACAATATGATACAATAAAATACTACTCAGCCATAATAAAGAATAAAATATAATGTCATTTGCAGCAATGTGAATACTAGAGAATATTATACTGATACTATATACTTTATATATTTATAAATATATATTTATATGTAAATATATATAATGTTTATAATATTATATACTAAGATAATATATACTAAGATATACTAAGAAAGACAAATACCATATGATACTACTTATATGTGAANTGATGCTTTTGAACTGTGGTGTTGGAGAAGACTCTTGAGAGTCCCTTGGACTGCAAGGAGATCCAACCAGTCCATCCTAAAGGAGATCAGTCCTGGGTGTTCATTGGAAGGACTGAAGTTGAAGCTGAAACTCCAGTACTTGGCCACCTGATGTGAAGAGGTGACTCATTAGAAAAGACCCTGATGCTGGGAAAGACTGAGGGCAGGAGGAGAAGGGGACGACAAGGGGATGAGATGGTTGGATATCATCACCGACTCAATGCACATGAGTTTGGGTAAACTCCGGGAGTTGGTGATGGACAGGCAGAAGACATCTTTCTGTTAATATGTCAAAATATTATTATATATGTTTATTATTGATGTCTCAGGAGAATAACAAGAGCTGGAGGGATGTGGGTTTTCTTGTTGGGGTGGGTTTACATACAAAAACTGTTCAATATTTGTTACCTAGTATTTTTGTCTCATTATAGACAATAATTATTGGTTGAATCACCTTTCCATCCCACTTTGAACTGTGATCATCCTTTCTATTAAAAAAGATTGTTAGAATCAGAGAACTTTTTTTACTGCTGAGGGAGAAGAGACTCTGTATTCTAATATAATACCAGAGCCTAGAAAAGGAACTCTCATCATTTGCAGATATTATGCTAACTTTCAATGATTTTCTGTTAACTTTTTTCTGTCCCTTCATCTGCACTCAGTAAGGACCTTACAGTAAACCTAACTGGCATAAATCTTGAGAGATACAAATGTCTCAGTTCTGAGTAGAAAAAGATCAGGAGATGAATGAATGAGGTGTTTTTGGGATACTGATCCAAAGTTCTTTTCATATTTTCATTACAGTTATCCAAAGTCATATGGCTCTTTGCTTTTAACTGAACTTTGGAATCTTTTGTTTACAGTGACTGAGTTTTCAAAGAAAACTGGAGATTATCCTAGCCTCTCTGCTACAGATATACAAGTACTGGCACTTACTTACCAGCTGGAAGCAGAATTTGTTGGGGTGTCTCACCTAAAACAAGAACCAGAAAAGGTAAATCAGAAGGATTGTTGGTTTCATCCGTTTTTACTTTTTTCTTATGAGACCTCTCAGATGTACAGAAGTAGAGGGAATAGTATAATGGACCCAGTGTCCCCATCATTCTGCCTCCATGGTTATCAATTCATGATCTGTTTTCATCTCTACCCACCCTAGCCATGAGCATTTTTAATTCAGACATCTTATTTCACTGATAGATATTTCTTGGTGTGTCTCAAAAGAGATTAGGTATGTCTTTTTAAAAAATAACCACAAAACCAATATTATACCTAAACAAAATTAATAGTAATTTCCCTGGTATCATCAAATATCCAAATGTGTGTTTGTTCACATTTCTTAATTATTATATAAATTTTTTAATAGTTTATTTGTTTGAATCAGGATCCAGATAAGGTTCATACATTGTAGTTAGCAAATGTGTCTCAGTCTTGACCTCTAAGTTCTTGGTAAGATTGGTTAAATTTAAAAATGCCGAAAGAGGAACTTTCCTGGTGGTCCAGTGGCTAAGACACCAAGTTCCCAATGCAGGGGTCCCAGGATCAATCCTTGGTTAGGGAACTAGATCCCGCATGCTGCACCTAAGCAAGTTTGTATACTGTAACTAAAAGATCTTTCATGCCTCAACTAAGACCTAGCACAGCCAAGTAAATATTTTTTTTTAATTTTAAAAATGTTTAAAGAGAGTAAAAATCAACTATATTCTCACTGCTTTTGAAAAAAATAGAATTCTTTTCCAGAAACAAGCAAGAAAGAACACCAAAAATGCTAACCATTTTTTTCAGCTCTTAACTAACCTTCAGAATTCTGGGTTCCTGTTGTGCTTTTACGGATTTGTCCAGCTCGGTTAAGTTGAAGAGATTAATGGTTTTGTGCCTGGGCCCCACTGACTGTTTCCAGGCCAGAGGATTTTGGAAGATAGGTAGTTTATACTGTAGTAAGTAATTTCAACTAGTGTTTACAAAGAAGTACTTGATCTCCACTGTCTAAAGTCATCAAAACTGTAGTGGACTGATGTCCCTGTTCTAGTTGGAACTGCCTTCACTTGTTCTCAGCCAGGTTTAGAGTCCTCCAGTCCAAAAAGTCTAAAAGTAATGTCTAAAATACAGACTTCTGTGTGTCACCAGAATGTTTTGGGGGGATGGGAGTCAAGGGAATAGTTTCACATAAAGGCTGACTTTGTGGCTGAGCCGGGTTTCTGTTTTGGCATCTGTCAACTTGAGATTCCTTAAAACCACCCTTTTCTGCAGTCTTTTGGGCAGGAGTTAACCTGTTTTGTATCAGAATCTTTAAAACTGCCTGTCTCTTGATCCAGCAATTCCACTTTTAGGCATTTATCTTAAGGATGTAACCAAAGATACTTCTAGGTTTTATACATAATGATGTTCATTAAAGCTTTATGTCTAGGGCCAAAAAAGAAATGTCCTAAAATGGTTATTTGGTGGTAGTGGAATCCCTGAATAATTCTTCATATATATTTTTATGTTTCCCACTTTTTAAAAAACATTTAATAGATCTTTTAATTTCAGTAACCAGGGGGAAATATTTTGTTTTCTGGTTTTTTTTAATTACTCTTCTATGTTGAATTTTCAACCTGTATTTCTTTGCTTAGTGCTGTCTCTTGTTTCTTTTTCTTTTTAAAGGTTAAAATGAGTTCATCAATTCAGCACCCGGAAACTCCTCTGCACATTTCTGGTTTCCATCTGCCCTCAAAGGTAATTTCTGAGACAGGCCAGGCTCTTCATGCATTTTTCTGCTCCATGTCAGATCTCCAGAAATTGTCTGATTCCAGGGAACCAAATTTATCCTGAGAGATGCTGCAGTATGTCCAGCCCTGTCTGACTTGTACACTGTATATCATTTCATCTATAACTCTCAGTTTGCAGGTTTAAAAATTACTTTTCTTTTAATCTCAGCCTAAACCCCCACGAGGAACAGTAGAACACAGACACCCAGCCAGTGAGCCTGAGGACCTCGAGTTCAGTTCCTTCATGTTCTGGAGAAATCCTTTGCCTAACATTGATTGTGAACTGCAGGAGCTGCTGGTAAGGCCCTGCCTTATGATCTGATGACCACAGACTAGCATCTTCCAGCTGCACCCCTGGGCAGGGAGTTTGAATTCTATTAATGTTTCAGATGGATGGAGGTGAGGATGTTCCAAGTGAGGAGGAGGAGGAAGAGAATGGACTTGAAGAAAGAAAGGACCAAGACAGTGATGATGACGGGGGCGGGTGGATAACCCCCAGCAACATCAAGCAGATCCAGCAGGAGATGAAGCAGTGTGCTGTCCCCAAGGACGTGCGGGTCGGCTGTGTGACTACAGACTTCGCCATGCAGGTGGGTGGAGTGGGTATCTGTCGGCCTGGGTTCAGTGTCATACCTGTTACAGGCAATGGTCCCTCGGAGGTTGAGGATGGGTTTGTATAATGCTTCTTTTCCTGGTTCTAGAAACTTTGCCTATGCTGTTTGTTAATTTGCCGTTTTGCTTGGAGGTTGGGGAATCATAATATATTGACAAAATGTATGTATGATACATTACATTTCTAATGTCTAACATTCACAGTCTGTTGCTGCTTTTCTTTCAGTGTGTGTAATGTTCTGTGCTGTGTTCAGTATTTGGAGACTGTAGCGGTTTCCAATCCAGAAATAGTTTTGCTCTGACACAGTGAACGTCTCCGTTAAGAGAGATTGCTTTAAAAAACAGAGAGATTACTCACGGGAGGTCTTGGCTAATTAATGCTTACAGTCGGTGGCCCTTGACATCAGAAGACTCTGGGTCCTTGTGCTAGTGTACCTGTCTTGAGAGGCATCCTATGCTTGCTTTTCTTGAGCAGAAGCCCTCCATGAGCCAGACCAGGGTTTGTGAAGTTCTCTTAACTGTGATTATGCAGACGTTAAAGATAATGTCGGTTTTGCTCTGAGTTCGGTTCCCCATTAACGTGTTGGTTGCAGAACGTCCTGCTGCAGATGGGGCTGCACGTGCTGGCCGTGAACGGCATGCTGATCCGCGAGGCCCGGAGCTACATCCTGCGCTGCCATGGCTGCTTCAAGTACGTAGTCGGTAGTGTGGGCCCCGGCGCCCCTCTGTCGAGCACCCCTCTCTTCCTAAACCTTCAGTGGGCTTCTCGAAGGGGGCCCTTGCCTTTTTTGTTAATTTGCCGTTTTGCTTGGAGGTTGGGGAATCATAATATATTGACAAAATGTATGTATGATACATTACATTTCTAATGTCTAACATTCACAGTCTGTTGCTGCTTTTCTTTCAGTGTGTGTAATGTTCTGTGCTGTGTTCAGTATTTGGAGACTGTAGCGGTTTCCAATCCAGAAATAGTTTTGCTCTGACACAGTGAACGTCTCCGTTAAGAGAGATTGCTTTAAAAAACAGAGAGATTACTCACGGGAGGTCTTGGCTAATTAATGCTTACAGTCGGTGGCCCTTGACATCAGAAGACTCTGGGTCCTTGTGCTAGTGTACCTGTCTTGAGAGGCATCCTATGCTTGCTTTTCTTGAGCAGAAGCCCTCCATGAGCCAGACCAGGGTTTGTGAAGTTCTCTTAACTGTGATTATGCAGACGTTAAAGATAATGTCGGTTTTGCTCTGAGTTCGGTTCCCCATTAACGTGTTGGTTGCAGAACGTCCTGCTGCAGATGGGGCTGCACGTGCTGGCCGTGAACGGCATGCTGATCCGCGAGGCCCGGAGCTACATCCTGCGCTGCCATGGCTGCTTCAAGTACGTAGTCGGTAGTGTGGGCCCCGGCGCCCCTCTGTCGAGCACCCCTCTCTTCCTAAACCTTCAGTGGGCTTCTCGAAGGGGGGCCTTGCCTTCTGTGCAGGTGTTCCTTCCTCCTCAGATTAGCCCCAGTGACGGGATATTTTCTTGCACAGAATATTTCCTAGCCCCTGTTGAGAGGGCTCTGTTCACTTGCAGACTTCAGGTCAGGGGCCTGGCTTCTCTGGCAGTTGCACGCAGCTCTTGTCTCCTGCCCCTGGGAACTGAGGGAGAATTCCTCAAGGGTAGACACGGGCTCCTGCTTGGTCCTTGAGAGCAGCAGCTTCTCCTGTTCAGTCTACAATTGGGGCTTGAGAGGGTAGGAGAGTGGCAAGGCCTGGGGGTCGGCCTCAATGCCCACACCCATTCAACCATAACAGCTTCGCTAGTGCTTCCTGTATGATTCATTAATAAATTCTCAGCATCTCCAGAGCCACCTCCTGGCATCATGCCCAGTGACACAACATTTGGGGCCAAGGTATTCAGTAATAGTTGTAATAATGTAATAGCATGCCCCTGGAGAAGGGGGGGTGGTGGTAAGAGCACTGACTCTGGAGCCATATTCCTTGGGCGTATGCCTGCCACTTACTGGCTGTGTGACCTTGAGCAGCTTGCTGCCTAGCCGCCATTTCCCCACCTGTGAGATGGAGATGCACCAACCTCATCGGGTTGTTTCCATGGTACCCTTGTAGCATAATGCCTGACAGAATTCGGTAAAGAGTTCACGGTCACTGTAACAACATTCAGCTCAGTTTTCTTACTTACCGTCTATGTCGTTTCTTCCCTGGAACCGTGGGGCAGCACTGTGCGTACATCAGCCGCGCGATACAGCCGGGCAGCCCTGGTCCAGGATGGCAGTGCAGTTCAGCTTATCCGTTTCCACTCCTCGCGCCTCCTCCTCCTCCGAGGCCCAAGACTCACCTTGTGCCCCCGGGACTGGGTTCGCTGCCTGAGGCTCCAGTGCAGTGAGGCTCCTTTGTGTCTGTAGGACAACGTCTGACATGAGCCGAGTGTTCTGTGCACACTGTGGAAACAAGACGCTGAAGAAGGTGTCCGTGACCGTCAGCGATGACGGGACCCTGCACATGCACTTCTCCCGCAACCCGAAGGTGCTAAATCCTCGCGGCCTGAGGGTGAGTAGAATGGCTCCCACTCCCCTGACGGCAGGGCCCGGGCTTGGGGAAGCGAGATCTCTTAGCATCAGGAGCAAAATGATCAGAGAGAAGAACAAACCCTCATGGTTTCTACAAGATAGTGCGTGAAAACCTGTGATCCAGATGGGGAAGGCTCACAATTCAGCCTCCCCATGAGCTTTGTGAGGAGTTTGCAGTCTAAGAAGAAATCACTAGTAATTCCACACAGTAAATTACATGTGGGGTCACAGAGAGGTCGTTTGTAGGATGGTGGAGATTGGATGTGTGTGGGAGTTTGAGGATGGGCAGAATTTCCAGAAGCTCCAAGAACCACAAGGGAAGGGGTGTGAAGCGCTCAGCACAAGAGTTCTGACTGGACATGCAGCCGAGTGGATTTGTCTTGAGGAATCAGGAGAGGAGCGTTGAGAGACCAGCGGGTATACCTGTGGCCGGCCCAGCCTGGGTTCTCTAGGCAGATGCCACCAGCATGAGAAGGTTGTTCATTTTTAAACTTTCTGTTCTGAAATAATTTTATAGAAGAGTTGCCAAAAATAGTACAAATTCCCATTTTACCTTTCACTTAAATTTCCCAGTTTAACCGTTTACTACATTTGCTCTGTCATTTATATATATTTTTTCTTTTCCCCTAAAAACCGTCTGAGAGTAAAGGCTACCTGATGCCCTTTGGCCTCTAGATACTTTGGTGTGTGTTTCCTGAAACAAGGACTTTATCTTTCATACCCACTGTACAATTACTAAAATCAAGAAGTTAACATTACTTCAGTACAACTATCCTAGCTTCCCAGATGGCACTAGTGGTAAAGAATCTGTCTGCCAGTGCAGGAGATGTTAAGAGATGCCAGTTCGATCCCTGGGTCGGGAATATCCCCTGGAGTAGGAAGTAGCAACCCACTCCAGTATTCTTGCCTGGAGAATCGCATGGAGAGAGGAGCCTGGCTATAGTCCATGGGGTCGCAAAGAGTCAGACACAACTGAGCAACCTAGCATGCAGTACTACTGTCTATGGGTCATATTCAAACTTTGACACATTTATTTTACAGCAAAAGAAGAAAAGGGTTAGGATCACACATTGTGTTGGTCATGTCTCTTTAAAACTGAAGTAGTTTGTCAAGTCTGTTGTCTTTCACACCTTGACATTTTAAAATGGTTTTAAAGAGTTCAAAGCAGTTCCTTAACATCCCTTAGCTTGGGTTTGTCTGGTGTTCCCTCCCGCTTAGATTCGGGCTGTGCAGTGTTGGCAGGAACACCCAGAAGTGATGCTGAATCTTCCCAGTGCATCCTGTTAGGGGGTAAATGATAACTAGTTGTCCAGTTTACTGCTGATAATGACTTTGATCACTTAGTTAAGGCAGTTTCTTATGTAATGTGAATATAATTAACCAAAACCAAGATGATCAAATTTCCCGTAAGGTTATTATTTGTAATTAATAAGTAACTTAGAGAAAGATAGTCTGAAGTCTTTCTGTCTTTAGCTGAGAGTGTGTAGTCAGAATACCGCTTTGGGTTTTGCATCTGTGAGGTGAGGTGAGGCTCAAGTGGGAAGATGCGTGTCAGGGGCTTAGCGCACAGCAGGCAGTGGTGATAGACTCCACTGGTGTCGTCGGCCCGCGTGCAGAGTTGTCGGGTGAGCTTTACGTTAGCAGGATCTGGTGTGTATGAATGCAAATCCCCGTCCTTCTAACGGCCTTTCCCCTTCTTGTTTGCAGTACTCTCTCCCCACTCCCAAAGGGGGCAAGTACGCCATCAGCCCCCACCTGACCGAGGACCAGCGCTTCCCTCAGCTGCGCCTCTCCCGAAAGGCCAGGCAGAAAACCGACGTGTTTGCCCCTGACTACATAGCTGGGGCGTCTCCCTTTGCAGAGAATGACATCTCTAGCCGTTCAGCCACCCTGCAGGTCCGAGACAGCACCCTGGGAGCCGGGAGGAGACGGTTAAACCCCAATGCTTCCAGGAAGAAGTTTGTGAAGAAAAGGTGAAGCAGCAGCTCCACAGGCAAGCTGGACGGCTGCCCAGGAGACCTGTGTCGGGCCCCGGTGTGCCGGCCCGGCGGCCCCCGGACTCAGGAGGGCCTGACCTCCTCAGCGCCGCCTTGGGGCTTGCTGCGGTGCCTCAGGTTGGGTTTGTGGTGGAGCCTGGCTAACCCCTGACCTGTGCGCATCCAGAGAACCGGGTTCCTGCCATGTTGAGGGAGTTTGATGAAAACAGAGCAAACGGTGCCTGGAGCAGATCTTCAACCTTTAAAGACAGGAACTTCTAAGTGGTAATATTTTTCTAATAAATGTGATTATAAGCTTCTGCACGTTTTGTTTTTTTCTTTAAGGTAATTTGAGAGAAACACTTAAGGTGTGCACTCAAGGATCAAGCATTTAGGTTTTCTTTTTGCCAGAAAGTATACTAGGTACTAATTTTATTATTTAAAAAAATTGTAGCTCTTAATTTTAACTCATTTTGAAAACGTTTCAGTCATCCAGGAAAATACCTAGACTCTCCCAATGTTAACATTTCTTACTTGCTTTTCCCTTTCTTCACATACAAACACACAGTGTCTCCTAGGACAGTGATGTTCTTTTACATAACCACAGCACAGTGATCAAATTCAGGAAATTTAACATGATACATTACTATTACCTAATACATAACACTTCAGATTTTACCAACTCGCCCCAATACTGGCCTTCATAACATGTTCCCCCAGATCTGAACAATCTCTCCACCTTTGTCTTTTGTGAAGTTGACCTTTTTAATAGTATGAGCCAGGTTTTCAACATGGCCCTCTATTTGGACTTGACAGGATGGAGGCGATCCATATGGGACAAGAAAGCTACATGCATGATCATTGGTTCTCAGTGCATCACCCTAAATGATGGTACCAGATTACTTGGTAAATAAACCTGCTGAGTAGAAGATTTCTTAAGTTCTCTACATTAACAGTGTATTCACAGAGTGCCAGCTTCAAAAGTTCCTTATATCAAGTTTTTCCCTGTATGGTTGTCTATTTAGTATAAAGCTAATTGGGGGGAGCTTAAATTCAGTTTAGATATTTCCTATGTATTTTTTAAATATGAAAACTCAGTTCCAAAAGGAAAAACCATATAAACTACACTGTATGAGGTGAGGTGTGTGCAGAACTAGACGGCCTTTCCCTTTCATACCCATTTCCGCTTTCCCCTGGCTAATCCATTTCATTTGTTTCTGACTTATCCTTGTGTTTTCTTTTGCAAAAAAAGTGTGTGGGTATGTGTTACATTTTGGAAGACACGAGGCAATAGTTGGTCCACTGCTCATATGCACACAGAACAGTACCTGGAACATGGTGGGTGCCCAATAAATACTTGTTGCATATATTTGGCATTTAATACTAGCTTTGTAAAAACTGATATATATATAACCAAACTCACCACCTGCTACTCAAAATGTTTTGACTAGCTGGTCATGCATCACAACTTTCTACCAACTGATTTAAGAGTTTCAGTTACAGTTGTTGAAGGCAGAGCCAGAATACTAGCTTGGTTGTGGAGGTCCTTTAGGGTTGTCTTTAAACTAAGTCATACAGTTTCACTCCTGGCCAACAGGAAGTAAAAGGGTTCATACTTACCCTCTCACCTGAAACAACTTAAAAAAGAGCTAAAACACAGAAAATCACAGTATTCAGCTTCTGGAGGTCAAGCAGGTGATCCCCGAGTGAGGAGGACACAGGTGAGCTCCACAATTGCACCGGTTTGGTATCTAGAGAGAGAATTTCCAGAAGGAAGAGGTGGAGCAACAATGCTGGGAGTCCAGGAGGGCCCAAACAAAGGAAAGGAGCGACCATCACAGCGCTTGAGTGCACCCAAGCATTCCATGTCTGCAGAGGGGCCCCTGCGCATCCTCAGCGAAGTACTGATGAGCACTTACGTGAGGGGTTTCCTGAGGCTGGGAAAAGAAATAGCCCTCCCCACCAAAATGAGATAATCCTCAAAGCTCACCCGAAGCCAGGGACGCTTCAAACTCTCGCTATACAGAATGGAAAACTTCCTAATTCACAGGCATCAGGCAGGTACTCCAGATCAGGAAACAATTATTTCCAGACTAAAGGCTGCTCTAGTCTCACCCAACAAAGCCAACCTTGCAAGAATCCTACTCCTAGTTCGATGCCAGAACCAGTCTTGTGGCCCCACCCAATCCCACTGGAACAAGAAACAATCCTTGGGACTTCCCCACTGGTCTAGTGTGCCTGCCAATGCAGAAGACATGGGTTCAATCCCTGGTTCGGGAACTAAGATCCTACAAGTGTCAGTGCGGCAACTGACACTCCATGTCTCAACTAGAGAGCCCAGGCACCCCAACCCACTGAGCCTGCCTGCTGCAACTAAGACCGGACGTGGCCAAAAATAATTTTTTTTTTAAGAGAAAGGTCAGTGTTCTCACGTTTTCAAAACACTCTCCGAAGGAAGCAGTATCATCCTAATTCATAGCCAAGCAGCCACAGTCTGGGGGGTCTAGAAGAATACCCCATATACATTATTAGCAATGACCAGAGTTTGATCCCTGAGTCAGGAAGATGACTTGGAGAAAGAAATAGCAACCAACTCCAGTATTTTTGCCTGGGAAATCTCATGGACAGAAGTACCTGGCAGGCTACAGTCCACGGGGTCACAAGAGTCGGACACAACTGAGCAACTAAACCTACCTATCTACCCCAGTATTTATGGACAGGAGGAAATCTGGAGTGGAAACATTCAACATGTCCACATCACTATGTTTTTGTGTTCATGTATTTGGAGGTAAATTCTTGTAAATGAAACCTTTTGTGTAAGTAAGACAATGATGAAACTGTAGTTCTGTGAAGCACAGTGACATTATGCACGTTTACTAACAGCTGCTTATACCTCTTCAGACATCGGGTGTTCTCTGTCTACACTGTTCACGAAGCCCAGTGCATGGATCTTGAATGATATTCAACAAATGCTTGTGGAGCTGAATGTGTGATTCAGACCACTTTGGAGAATATAATTCAAGAGGCAAGAAATACTTTTTCCAAACTTCTCTTTTAGTTTGCTCATGGAAATAACAAATGAGTTCCCCATCCTGAAGGTGTTTGTGCAAAAGCTGAAGAGTTACTAGTGATGTGAAAAGGATCAAGCATTGAAAACAGGTCCCCAGGACATCCCTGGCAGTCCAGTGGCTAAGACTGCACTCTCAGTGCAGGGGGCCCAGGTTCAAACCCTGGTTAGGGAACTAGCTCCCAGATGCCTCAACTAAGAGCTCACATGCCACAACTAAAGATCTCCCATGCTGCAAGGAAGATTAAAGATTTCATTTGCCGCACCTAAGACCCAGCACAGCAAAATAAACAATTTTTTTAAAAAGGAAAGAAAAAAAGGAAATGGGTGTCTTCTATACTTTATGTTCTCTGATCTTGGACCAAAACTCAATTTGCTACATCAGATAAAATCTCTTCACAACACATGCATGCCATTGGAAGAGAAATTTCGCTTTAATCAGGGAAGGTCTAAGTCCAACAGGGGATGACCTACTTCACACAATATGTAACAGGTCAAAATTCCAGCAAGACACGCAGGAACAGGGTGTCCAACATAACAGTGTGTGTTCTGTGCAGCGGTGATTGTGTCTGTGAGACAGGAGGGCAAAAGGGGATGGGGCTTAAAGTGGAAGAACAGCCTCTCTCCTAATACCGAGGACCTATTCCCTCCACAGATACTTGGCTGGTAGCCATGGGAACCACTGAGGACCAAGAGATGCCTGGGTCCCCAGACAGGCCCAAACATGGCTCTAAGCGACTGTGTTAAGTCCATCACCTGCAGCTGAAAAAAACCAAGGGGACTTTGGGGACTTCTGGATGCAGGGCCTTGGCAGGTGACTAATGAGGCTGTTTGTGTTCTTTCATCAAGAGGAGGATGGGGGACTCCTGAGGGTTCTGCCCATGCTTCTTATTTCTAGATAACAAAGATGATCAACAAAGCTTCTTACAGCTCCATGGTGCTGGCGTGCTCCCTGGGGAGGCAGGGAAGGCCCTGAGCACACTGTTTTCAGTTGATACACAGTGCCCAGTACATACCTACACCTGGGACAGAGGTCTGCTTGGAGAAGATCATGGGAATTGTACAATCTTAAACTGACAGCAAATTAAAGCTAGAGAGACCTTTAAGACAATGCAGTCCCAACATGTATTTTTACAGATAAGGCAAACAGGGCTCAGACAGACAAGCATTAGCAGCTGACCTGGAACTAGACTCAAGAATTTTGAATCTAACTCTGATAACAAGGAGATAGGAGCTGGCTCTGGAGACCAAGAGCCTGAGTTCAAATTCTGGACTATACCACTGACAAGCTATAGAGCCATGGACAAGCCGGCAATCACTTGGTGTCTGTTTCCTCATCTGTAAAATGGGAGGTTTATTCCTGACCTCATGGTTTAGGAGTTTCTCAAATGTTAAACACAGAGTTATTAGTCATTCTACACCTATTCATGTATACTTACCCAAGAGAAATAAAAAACATATGTCCACACAAAGACTTGCGTACAAATGTTTATAGTAGCATTACTTGTAATAGCCAGACGTGGAAACAACACAAATGTCCTTCAACTGAATGAAATAAACAATGTTAATGAATGAATAAACAAAATGTGCTTTATTCACACAATGGAGTATCATACAGTCATTAAAAGGAAGGCAGTACTGACATGGATGTGTAACAGAGAAAACAAACCTTCAGTGTGACTCCACACTGAATCTACTTCTTTATCTCTGATCTTGTGCTCTGTCGCCTGTGCTTAGTCATGCTGGCTCTGCACCTTTATAAATGAATATTGCCTATGGCCTGACATTTATAGGACAGCCCATTCTCAAGGCTCTGACCTTTAACACTTTTCCATTCATATACAAAGAAAAAAAAAAACCCTGCAAAACAGAAAATTAAAAATTGCCTTATTGGATGTTTAAGGTCTGTGACCAGACCTCTGTGGACAGCTTCAAGAACAAAGGATTCCAGCACCAAAAGTTCTGCAATGATGAGCCACATCCCCTTCTCCTTTTAGTATAAAAGAAGCCTGAATTCTAACTAGGGTAAGGTTGTTCTTTGGGACAGTATTCCACCATCTTCTGGGTCTGCTGGCTTTCTGAATAAAATCACTTTTCCTTGCCCCAACAACTTGTCTCTCAATTTATTGACCTGTTGTGCAGCGAGCAGTACAAACTTGGACTCAGTAGCAGATGAACCTTGAAAACATTATGCTAAGTGAAAGAAGCCAGTCTCAAAAGACCATATAATGTATGGTATCATTTATAAGACGCCT